ATAAAGTGTCACATATATTATTAAAAATTGATATTGAACATCTTGTAGCATATGCTCATATAAAAAAATGGACTTGAGGTTCCATTCTTTAGACGTTAAAGTTAGTTGTATGATTGATACTTATGAGATTATAACTTCTAAATTATGCTTTGGGAACATGAAATCAAGTACATTAAAACATTTATTCGCATCAATCCAACAAGATAATATATCTTAGTCCTCCCCCAACTTATAATTTATTCTAATACTTCTTATCTAAGTGAATCTTTGGATGTGTTGTGTATATTCTAATTGCTCCAGTATAATATATTAAGATAAGTCATGAAAGAATATTGAAAAAATATAATTGTATGAATCTCAATTTTGAGGATATAATTTGAGCAAATAATAAAATACTTGATTGCAGTCCAGTAGGATGACTATCACTTAATACATTAATTTTTTCAATATTAGAGGAAGGAATGAGCAGTTAAAATCATGAACAAGAAGTTCAATGAACAATTTTATATCTTGATTCTCGTACAAACCAATATAAATCAGAAGTTTAAAATATTATTCATTTGTAAATTTTATACAACCAATTACAATTACTAATACTACAATCGAAGTGGATTATCATGTTGAATAATATAATATTGCAAATGAATTGAAACAGTGCATGAAACATGGTAAAAAAGTTGGTTCCAATATTAATGATCTTCTACCAAGCACATACGCTAAAATTAAAGATGACCCAAGTGAGGATATAAAAATCCTAAGAGTATTTTGACATAATTTATTTTGAATTCCATAAGAACTAATCAGGTACCTGGAATATATGAAAATAAAGAGATCTCGATAAAACATGTCATAAATGGAATTTGATGGAACCAAAATAAAATCAGCATTGACAAAATAAATTGGATAAAATATAGCGCTAAAAATGATAAATGATGACGAGGATCATGAATCAAAGTCTATCAAAGATTGTAGACAAAGTGAGAATTAGCTAAAATAAACAGATCCAATTGAAGAAGAATTAAATTCACTTTACAAGCGACTCACTTTTGACCTGTGGTTTGAACACCTCGAGGTGTGAAACTAACTGGATATATAAATGAATTTTTGTGAAAAAAACAAAATAAGAATGGTATAAAACTTGATTTGCTGCTCATTGATTTTCACAAGTACCTAATATTGATTCTGATAAAATATATTCATATGCAGTGGATTCAATTGATTTTTAATATTTAATTATCCTTGTAGCACATGAAGAGCTTAATTTGAACATGATGGATGTTATGACATATTATTTATATAGTTCACTTAATAATGACATTTACATGAAACACTCTGAAGGTTCAATATACCAGAGGCACGTAATTATGGATCTCGAGAAAACTACTACATCAAATTGAACAAGTCTCTCTATGGGCTGAAATAATTTAGATGCATGTGGTATAATCGCCTCAGTGAATATTTACTAAAGGATGAATATACAAATAACTCAATTTGTACTTGTACTTTCATAAAAGGATCTGGAAAAGAATTTTCAATAATAGTTGTGTATGTGGATGACATAAATATTATTGGAACTCTTGAAGAGCTTCCAAAAGTTATAAATTCCTTAAAGAAAGAGTTTGAGATGAAGGACCTACGAAAAACAAAATTATGTCTAGGCTTACAAATTGAGAATTTGGACAATGGAATATTTGTACACCAGGAAGGTTATATAAAAAGGTTGTTGAAATACTTCTATATAGACAAATAACATTTATTATCTACTCTAATGGTTGTTGGATCATTAGATATAGAGAAAAGATCATTTCAGGCCTCGAGAAAAGGATGAAAGTTTGATTGGTCCTGAAGTATCATATCTCAGTGCAATTGGAGCACTAATGTACCTTGCTAATTATATATATATCTTGATATATCATTTGCGGTCAACCTATAAGTAAGATAGAATTATTCACCTACACGAAGATATTGGAAAGAAGTCAAACATATACTTTGTTATCTTAGAGATGCTGGATACTTGTCAGATCCTCACAATAGTAGATCAGAAACAGATTATTTATTTATATGTGATGGTACAGCTATTTCATGGAGATCTATGAAATAACTCATGGCAACAACTTCATCAAATCCTGCATAATTATTAGCACTACATGAAGTCACTTCGAAGTAGAAATTTTTAGCAACTACTACAAAGAATATCGTCCCACGTTAAAATGGATACATGAGGGGGAGAAATAAATATCTTCTACACTCTTTTTCCCTTCACCGTGGTTTTGTTCCACTGGGTTTTCTTGGTAAGGTTTGTAACGAGGTCGTTCACATTCAAATGATATTGTACTCTTTTTTTTTCCATTGGATTTTTTCTAGTAAGATTTTAACGAGGCATATCCTCAATGAACATCCAATGGGGAGTGTTATGAATAAATATTATAGTGGATGTCCATATATATTATCATTTATCTTCATATTCTCTATTAAGTGTTATAGTAAAGTTATGATTTTTTACCTTTTCAATATCCTATAAATAAAGACCACTTTGCAATGTAAAGAGAACTTCTCGAAGAAAATAGTATAATTTCACTTTCTCTCTTATTTTCTGTCCTTCATCTCTATGTTATTTTCGTTAATTTCATTATACTTTTGAAGTTTTTCAAATTCTTTATGTACTCAATTTGTATCATACAAAAAAAATTGTGCAGGAGTAAAATTTTTTTGGATTTGAATTAATTGAAAGGGAATGTAAAAAATAAAAGTTATTTTTACATCAACATTCTATACCTATATTATATTTTACTATTTACCAAATACGATGATCAATAAAATATTATAATAATAAATTATTTTAAAAATAATAATAAACTAAAAAAAAAATTATGTTTTTTTTTTTAGATTAAGAAAATACGGATACAAAATAATGTGAATTAAACAATTTCATAACTTTATTAATTAATATTTTAAATTTTAATAATCAATTTCATAATAATTAAAAATCTTGAGTGTTTAACCAATTTTATAACTTTATTAATTAATATTTTATATTATATTAATCAATTTATTTTAGTATTAACAATTATTTTTAATATTTAAATATTTATTAACCAACTTCATTGTTTCATTAATCAACTTTTTACATTTTATTAACCAATTTTATTTTACTACTAAAAATTATTTTCAATACCTAAATATTTATTAATTAATTTTATAATTTAATTAACTAACTTTTTACATTTTATTAATTAACTTTAATTTATTACTAAAATTATTATTCATGCACTATTTATAGATAGTGTATAAGATTGTTGTTCATGTACGGTTCACAACACTAATCATAAATGTATTTTTTTTATTTTAAAAAAATATTATGTGAATAGTACATAAAGAGTAAGTATTTGATGTATGAATAGATATAAACATAGTATTGCGGAAAAAATAAATGAATAAAAATCAAATAAAATTGATATTTTTGAATTATGTAGCGTTAAAAATACATACTTAGTAGGTGTACAAGGTAAATTTACAATTTTTCTATAACTAGCTTTAATTTACTCCGAACAAATGTTTAAGGGTATTTTGTCCCTCGAGAGTTAAAAAAAAAAGAGAGAGAGAAAGAAGAGATTCTAGTTTTAATTTTAAATTTCACAACGTATTTTTTAAATACTCAAAATCTAAAACTACTAACTTTAAAAAACTAAAAAATTAAAAGATTAAAAAAAAAACAAGAGACTAATTTTATTAATTAAAGTTGTTAAGTCTTTTAATAATTTTGGAATCAAATTTTAAGGATAATTTTTGTAACTTTCCTTCAATTTATTTATTTATTAAATTTATATTAAAATTGAAAATAATGACTAATTTTACTTCTCCTAAAAATTTGTTCTAATAAAACAAATTAGGTTTGTAACTTCCACGATCTATAAAAATAATTTTAACTTTCCCGTGAAATTTGTTCAAATTAAAATATAAAATTAATAAAATATTTGTTTCCTAAAATATATATATATATATATTAAGTTGGTTATAATTTTCCTAAAACATAGGAGTATGTCAAATAAGATTTCTAACTTCCACACAATTATTTGGTCAATCATTCATTAATAATAATTAAATATTAAATTAATATTAAAATAAAATTAATAATAAATTAATATTAAAATAAAATTTAGAATAAATTTCACTAACTTCTTCTCTAATTTGTGTTTTATTTTTTTCTTTACAATATTGATATTTTGTTATAATAAAAATTTAAATTATCGAAATTGTATATGCTATCATAACTTAAATTGACATATAATAATGCAATTGATATAATTGAATTCATATTTTAAAACATATTTAAGTCATTTAATTATTATTCTAATTGTTATTATTATTATTATATATTTATTGTAGTTTTACTAAAAATTCCTTCAAAAACATCGTATACTTTTAATGGTAGAGAGCAATTAATGTTAAAACACTTTTCCAATATATGCTTGATTTATTTTCTTAAAATATTAATATTTTACTATATTAAAATTTTGGTTAGCAATTGACCCAATTAAATAATACTTTAAAGCATATATTCAAAAATATTTCTTTAAATTATAATAATTATAAATAATAATTTAATAAAATTTACCATGCAATGCTCGAGTAGACTTATTTATCGTCAATGTAACTTAACATAATACAATTTTTTTTTATAACTCTTATAAAAATGTTTATAATAAGGTTTAGCTGAGAATTGAACAATTTAGTTCTTTATTTATACTATTAAGATACTCTCATACCTGAAATTTTTTTAAAATCCCGTACCTATGCATAAATTATCATAGGTAAAATGCCTCTACAAATGCTAAAATAAACTAGAAAATACCTCACTAAGTTAAATAAATCTCGACCACCAACTCTCTGCAACTATCCTCTTCCATCTCCCTACAAAACTGATGGCTGCTCTAACTCTCCTACAACAGCCTACAAACATTAATCAACTTCTGCATGAATCATGACAACTGTATTTACATTCAGTTACTTTCAAGCAAGCTCCTTAATTTGTTTCGAGCCTCTTCAGACAGAGAGCAAGCTCTGAATCTTCGCCTTTGAGGTGGACATGATTCAACAATGCTTTCAACAGGAGACAGACAAATAACAATTACAGTAAGATTATCTGTTGTGTGCAGGCGCAATGCTTCTTTGACAAGCTCCCTGGCACATTGTTGTGGGTCATCGTGCCTTCTTAATCCTCGACGGACAAGACTAACTGCTTCCTGGCTTGACATTACATCCCAAATGCCATCACAACCGATTATTAAGAACTCATCTTCCACAGTCAATGTGACCACCTGAACATCGGGCTCAGCAGTGAGAGGCGAGGCAGAACCAATGGGTAATTTTAAGTCCCAGTCGCCAAGGGCACGAGTTACAGAAAGATAACCATTGAGATATCCATCATCAATATAACCACCCAACTCTTCCACTCTCTTCCGCTCGGGTAAATAACTTGGTCTGTGATCGTGAGACATGTCAACAGCTACTCCACGCTTACAAAGAACGGCTCGACAATCACCAGCATTGGCAACCAACAAATGTTTTCCAAGTATCAGAGCAGTCAGTGCTGTTGTCCCACAAGAACTACTAATACTCTTTTCATTAGCCATTGCAAGGTCGGCACCTAGAAAAGCTTTCCGATGAGAATCTTCCAACCTCTTCATTAGAAGTGCATCAGTGCCATACGATTGCAGCATTTTAGCGTCTTCAAAAAATAATTGCATAGCATTGTTCTTAACAAACAGAGCTGCATCAGGACCTCCGTGCCCATCAAAAACTCCATAAAAAGCACTCGGTGTAGGATATTTTAACATGAATCCAAGGTGGGTAGCTAAATCATCTATTTGAATATGATCATCATCCATTGATCCCCTCGGTCCAATATCAGCACAGCTACCAGAACGAACAATTGGGGTAAATTTTGCAACAGCTTCTTCTATAATAGTATCAGTTATCATCTCAGAGCGACTCGCAGTCTAAAACAAAGACAAAAAAAAAAGATCAGCACAAACACAATCCAATCAAAATACGAAGAAGATTAAAAACAAATTAGCTACCAAAATTAAAACATGACAACTAAAATCCTTTCACTAAAAAGTCCTGTCATTAGTAATGAAGCAACTGAATTCTGAAATTTACTAACATTGTCAGCTGTATCAACTTATTCATACAGAGCTAAAAGTGAGAAAATGGGCATTTTAATGTAAACCCATTCTCTACCCATTTCATATGATTGAAAGCTAAACTAAAGCTAAAGGCAAAAGAATGAACAAATCATTAAACTACCGAATTCGATATTTTAGCTGCAAAAAGAGTGGATTTCATCTTCATCGAATCTAACAAACAAATCAACGCAAACGCACATCTCACAAAAACTCATTCATAATCGAATCCATACAAATCAATACAAATTGATCCAAAAACAAACAAAAAGCAAAATTCCACCGACCCACTCAACCAAAAACCAATCCTTTCACAGATCAAAACTCAATAATCAAAACCAAACACAAAATTCCCAAAATGAATCAAGAATCAAAAACAAACCCTTGAACTCAATTGAAAACTAAAAAAAGAGAGAACTTTTTTACATACCGATCCAAAGAGAGACGTTTCTGTTGAAACGGATTCAGAAGAAACCCTAAGTTGATTAAAAACCGGAACAACATTGGAAGCAGGTGAAACGTCAACCTTGACGGCATTTTCTTGAGAAACGCAAAGGTGATACTTGACATCCAACACAGGAATGCTTTGCTGATAAATGATTTCCGTTTCCAACACCATCTTCTTCTTCTTCTCGCTTGATTTTCTCTTCCGACACAAAATTAGGGTTAGGTTACCCAATTTTACGAATTTCAATTTCGATTTGGGGTTTCAAAAACGATGGAAATTTTAGGGCTTTTTGTTTGAGTGCGAGAACGAAACTTAACGTGTGAGTTTTAAAGTCTTTTATTTTGGTCGAAAATAAAGCGGCGGGATTTAGCGATAACGACGCGCTCGCGTGAAATGGAGTATTTTTCTTTCACTCAGCTATGAAAGTGAAAATACTATATTGCCCTTTGAGTTACGTACATTGAAGAATGGAAGGGTTGATTTTAGAAAAAAGAAGCCGAGGATCGCCACGTTGGCATATCTTAAATCATGACAACTGATGATATTTCTAGGGAATCTAACAGGTGTTGCACGCCCATTAATAATCGAACGAATTTTTTAAAATTAAATAATTAAATGGAATAATATAAAAGTTAGGGTTAAATAAAAAAATTAAATATGTTTTTTTTTTTACTCTAAATTACTAAATTTTGTTTTACTCTAAAAAAAATTGCATATTTTAATTTCTATAAAATTATTATATATATAATTTTGGTCTATCTTGTTAAATTAATATGTATTTTTAAAAGATTATTTTGTAGATATATTTAAAACATAATATTTTTTTTTATTTTTTTCAATTTTCCTGAAAAACATGAGCGGTGATTGAGATGCTTCAGGTTGTCTCCAACATTCTCCCTCTCTCTTCAGCATCATCCTTCATCTATGGCACCTGAAAGAAATCGCGATATACGTATGTCGTATCTCAAATTTGTCCTACCTCGATGATTTTATTTTTCGAGATTAAAATAGAAGAAATATTTAATTAAATATGGTACACCAGTATCTGATGGTCTATCTTTATCCAGACTAGGGAATGTATTTTAATTCAGGAAAGCGGGGCTTTCTAAATCAGAAAGACTCGTGTATCTGTAGGCCCATTTACGAAACATGTTGGCCAATGGCCCATGAGATTCGAATATGGAAAATTATTTTAGAAAAATTATTAAGTTCTTTAATTGTAATAAAACTCATTTAAGGTGTTGTTAGTAAATGGGAGGTGAAATTGCAATATATGAGCCCATTTCGTTTGGCCCATTTCCATTAGAAAACAAAGAGAGGATTTGGTTATAAGTCTAAGTCCATGGAATTTTGGCCAAGTCCATTTATATTATTGTTATTACACTAGCTCAAATTTAAAACATGGTCTTGTTTAGATAGTAAAGTTGTGAGGCTAGTCCATTTTGTTTTGAATTTAAATAGTTTTATTAAAGTAGTTATTTTTGCTTTCAATAAATATTTTACGGTAGCTTATTAAAAGATCTATCATAAATTTGATCATTGGTTTATGAAGAAATTATTTTATTGGTACTACTATTTTCAATTATTAAGTATTTTTTTATAAACTAGTAAAAGATTGGTTTTGTAAATGTTACATCAAGATTGTTTTCAGAAAAGGCCAATTTAGGCTTAGTCCGTATAAAGAACACGTTTTTGTAAGTAAATTTTTGTTGTTGATGGATAGAAAGTTTTTATTGCAATTTAAAAGTCCATTAAAATTGGTTCATTTCCATTTGTGTTGTCAAAAAGCAAAGGGTGGGATACGGATGTAGATTACAGGCCCATCAAGAGCCGCCAAGTTGGTCCATTTTGCATTTTGAAAACTATTATTAAGCATTTGACTTGGTTAATCATTTTTTAAAAAGACTGGTTTTGCAAACTCAAGTTTTTGTTAGATCCAAATAAGCCCAATTCGGAGTATTACAGTAAAGTAGTATGCAAGGGCCCATTTATCATTTTTGTTGTTTTACTTTTAGAAAAGATTTACTATGAAACATTTATTGAGGTTAGGAAGATTTGATTATTAAAATATTTGGTTTTTTAGTAAACATTTTATAATTAAGTTATTAAAAGTTTTGTTGTAAATAGTTGCAAAAAAGGCCTGTTTTACAGGCCCAGTTCATACAAAAAAAGTTGTTGTTTGCAAGCAATAAGCATGTTGGACCGAAAACGCATCTGCAAAGCCCAATTGGAAATAAGTTGTTTTTGGCTAAGTAAAAAAACCGCATATATTGGCCCAAGTCTAATAACAAGTACTGTTCTAATCATAACCCAAAATTTATGCACAATAATTGTAGAAATCACATTAAAACAGATTGAAAACCAAATCTGTAAGATCAAGTCAAATTGCTCATGGCCAATTCCCAGAATCAGTAAATCCAAAAAAGAAGGGCAATTACAACTAGTATAAATCTATTGCATAAAATCAAATCCAAAATAAATTTTAAATCCAATATTCCAGTACAAAAAATTACTCAATCAATTACATAATTTAATCCCTAATTTCTTTGCTCTAACAACAATTCTAATTCAAAAAAAAAACCTAAGTCAAAACAATATAAATATAAAAAAAAAAAGATACAATAAAAAGGGGATTTTGGAAGACAACAAAGAAGAAGAAAAACCGTGAAGCTGGGGGGTCGGAGTATTGGAAACTGGAGAGGGGACAAAGACGATAATAAAGAGAATCGTGAGGCTTGAAGAACAGAGGAAGGAGTTGAAGAAGAACTTGAATTCGGGAAGAACGAATTCCGGGGAGAAAGCGAAGAACTTGTATCGATTGTTGAAGAAGGGAGAAGACAGTTAGGGATTCAACACCTGAAACCCTAACCGCCGTTGGCCATCCTGACACTCCGCCGCTACTCTCAATCGACCATCACCACTGTCTTCCTTGTTCACTGTAACCCGCTGTGATGCGGTGGGAGAACTGACTTGAGGTTTTGCGTTTTATCGCCACCGACTTTTCTTTTATCCAAAAGGAAAGGTGAAAAAGCACAGGAAAAACCTTTGAGATGTTTTCTTGAGTTCGGGGGGTAGATTATGAAAAGGGAAGGTATTAGCACCCTTTTCATCCATGGTTTTCCATGGGCTCTTAGTTACTTGCTTAGATCACTTGCTTTTGTTTGTTTGAAATTGTGCTTGATGTGGTTTTGAAAGAATTTTGTAAAAGAGGCCATTGTTAGGCAACCTTTGTAATGATTCTCGTTCGTAAGAATGTATACAAAGATGTTTGTCTTTTTTAAAATGTTTTCAATGTTTTGTAAGATGTTTTGAAATGTGTGTGTGTTTGTTTTTAAAAATAGCAAGGATTTGTTGTTTGAAAGGGGGCAAGTAACTAGAATCTGTCTACCTACTCAAATGTCTTTCCTATGTATTTTCTATTCCTTTGACATTGTTGTCTTACAATTGATTTGGTAAGCAACCCTATCTTTGGATGTACACGGGACGGGTGTGGGTCATCGTATGACCATGATTAGCAATGTTTGCAAAGTATCTTAGCATTTTTGAGGGACCAAGATCATTTTGTAAGGCAACTTTTGAATAGCGTCATCGAGGGACTATGATCTTATATTTGTTTTGTTTTACCAAGATACTTCGCATGCGTAACATGGCCATTTTTGTTTTAGGCAACCAAGTGGGGAAACCCTAAGGGTGCTTGTGTGCAAGTGCATCATTTTTCATGCTTTTGATTTTGTCTTGTATTTAGGGTATTCTATTTGTTTTGTTTTGTTCTTGTCATACAAACTCTAATTACTAATCATGGCATATGAAAGCGGTAAATTGCGTAATATAAATATACTAAGCTATTACAACAATTTTATGGGAGGGGGAAATACAAGTTTGAATGGGGATTTGCACAAATATAAAAGCTAAATACATTATTACAACCAAATCGAATTTGTGTGAATTAAGATAAATATAACACAATATTTAAAATGTAATGCAATGTACATGTAAAAAGGTTTTTTTTGTGTGTCTTATTTTCATGTAAAAGAATATTTAATCTAAACCTAAAAATATGAGGAAAAAGATTTAATTTTTTGAAAGGGGTTAAACCCTAATTTTTTTTTTAAAAAGAAAATAATGTTTCTATATGTATTATTTTGTGTATTTTCTTGTGTAAAAATAATAAATAATATTATATATATAAATATTAAAAATTAAATATATACAAGAATGAGTATTTATAAGTATGAAAATAAAAAATAAATTGAAATAAATATGTTTAATTATTTTTACAAGTTTATTAAGAAAATAAGTGATATCCTATTTTAAATAAAATATATTTTATGTGAGAAATATTAAAAAAATATAATAAAAGTGCAATATTATTAATTTACATTTTAAAGATTTTTTATGCATTAAAAGAAATATTTAAAATATTAAATATATAAATAAAACAAATAAGAAATAAAAATGTAGAAAGAGTTGGCAGGGGGTAAGATAGCAAGTCAGCGGTGATGTTGAGCAAAAACATTGGCCCATAGCAAAAGCCCAAACCTGTAAAAAATATCAAAACCTGAAAAGGAAAAAATGCCAAAATGCAAAAGTAGCGCGCAGGTTCGAACCCAGGACATGGGTCTTGTGACACCCCAAATTAATTCAAGTGTTAAATAATTAGGAATTTAATTATTAAATTAATTAAAGGCTTAATTAATAATATTTTGGATTAAATGGATGAATTAATTATGAAATTAAAAAGGAAGACCGGGGGGTGTAAGGTTGAATTAGAGGTGTGTGAAGTAAAAAGCTCTACTAAATAATTACTAATTTATTTCTATTATTTGGAAAATAATAATAGGAATATAAAAGAAGGATAAAAAGGGAAAGAAAAAGAAGGTTATTGGGAGAAAACCATTGTACGTGAAATTGGAGAAGAGAAGAGAAGAGAGGAAAAAGCCAAACGCCGTGAATTCGAAGGATCATCGCGAGGTAAGGGGTGATTTCAATTATTTAATATGCCTTATAGATTTTGAGATCAATAGAATTGATTAAGCATGTTAGGAATCTCGATTTTGGAATTCTAGGTTTGTGGGATTATCCCTAATTGTGTCAGAGTGTAGGAATTGGAACCATTAATGTGATGAATAATTAATAGGAATGATGGAAACATGATCTATGATGTTGTATTG